ATGTCAGTGGGGCTCCATACCAGTATAAGGTCCATTTACTTAGGGCATTTTTAGGATCAGGGTCTTAATTCATTTCCATTTCATACATAGCCCTTTTGTGCTCACCTATTTCTATGAATATTCTAGTAAATTAGTTTACTTTGCAGGATTGTTTGCTGAAACAGATAATTTTAGGCTAGTGTTCGAGAACATTGTGAAAGAAAACAATTTTTGAATTCATAATCATATATGCACAGGAAAATTGATTCTAAAGGTTATGAATCCCCAGTCAAGGAACAGAAACAATAATAGGTTACCCATGTATTCAATGAAAGTTGATCAACATGTTTCCCATTTTGGCAGCTAGTTAATAAATAATCTATAGACCAAGTACTATAGAATGAATTAAGTGATTTTCAAATAACAAGAATGAGAAAATTGTAACCTGCTTTCAGCCAATTTGAAAACAGGAAAGGAGACAAAACTGACTGAATAAAATATTCACTACAGAGTAATCAGAGGCCAAAGCTTGTCCATGAGGAAAGCTGGTCCAGTGGCTGGATGACTAGTCTAGGACTTGAGATACATTTGGTTCAATTTTCTGCTCTGCCACAGACTTCCTGTGGGACCTTGGACAACTCACCTAATCTTTTTGTGCCTCTGTTCCCCATCTATATAATGGGATAATAGCACTTCCCTACTTAACAGGGGCTGTTGTAAGGATAAATATCTTAAAGGTTGTAAAAACATGCTACGGTAATGGGAGATGTATAAATACTTATGCTGGATCAGCGGTCAGGAAAAAACATTTAGTCATACAGCAATGGCAATTTTTGGCTTTATGAAGTAATGGGACAGATTATCAGTGGGTGTAAATTGGTATAGCACCATTGACTTTAGCAGAGCTATACCAAAGTATGTCATCTGAGAATCTGGGTAAGAACCATTGTGCACTATACCAGCAAAGCACTAAAGTATATGAATAGCCCCAGTGAAGTTAAAATAGGTCTTAAGTGGAACACAGGCAGCTAGTAATTTTTATGCTCTATGAAGATATAACCTTTATTCTCCATGTTCTGTCTTCATCTTTTTGCTCTGTTTATCTTTTTGCATTTCATTCAGCTTACATACAGTATCTAAAATGGACAGTTTCACTAGCTGTTTATAATTAGCTTTCACTGACTCACTGTAGTGGGGTGGATTGGCTGCCCACAGATCCGGAGAGGGAGGAGCCCCTCATTGAACCCTGGTGGGCGGAGCCACATCATGCTCCACCCTCCCGCCGGAAGTCAGTGAGCGGGACCGGAAGTACAAAAGGCAGGCCAGAGAACCCAGTGGGGAGGCAGCCGCTGGACGAGCCAGATGCCTCCTGCAGCTCCGGAGCTGGGAGGTTGCTGCAGACCCCCAGGGAGCCGAGGACTGGCCAGGACCACCAGGGCCATTTACGGACCCAGGCACGGAGGAGCTGCAAACCCTGACAGAGGTCTTCTTCCCCGACAACCAGGATGACCCTCTACAGAGCCAGATACACCCTGAGGGGGAGATGGGAAGTGGTGCAGGGGTAGCCGACCCCTGTCTGGCTGCAACGCTGATAGCAAGAGAGTCAGCTCTGGGCTCTGGGCCAGGACACAGTGGAGTGGGTGGGTCTGTGTCCCCACTGCCACCCCAACCCAGGGGTGGCAGTCTCCCCCTCTCTTAGGCAAGACTCCTGCACTTGCTGGCCCTCTGCCAGAGGTAGGAGGCCCGACTGTTTGCTGCCAGCCTGAGTGCAGGCCTGAGCCAGACACTCTTTGCTGCCTCGACCAGGGGTTGGGGCTCCGTAACTGTGTTTGTTGTTCAGCCCTGATCACAGGCCCAAGCCCACGCTTCCTGTCACCCCATGGATTCCCCATGTCAGGCGACCTCCAGAGACATAGTGGGATGGATTGGCCGCCCTCAAACCCGGAGGGGGAGGAACCCCCCTCCCCAATGGACTACACTCAGACATTAGCACAATGTTGTTGTGTTTGGGTTTCCAACACTGTGGGAGGAGGGGACTATTTAAATGTGATCTTAAATTAAACTATTTCCATTGTTCAAATTTTAATCATGTTTAAACTTTTCTATGAAGAGTAGATTTGTAACTGTACTTTAGAGCTTTACATCACCTGCCAGTTTCTTTAGCTATTTTAAGTTCTCCTTCAAAATGCCCTCTTTACCTACTTAGTTTTGTCTTCCCTTCTAACATGGCACAGACAATCTTATCCAGAGCTGTTGATTTTTAAACAGGACCTGGAAAACTATAATGACAGCAGTAGTTTTGTACCCTGGGTAACAGAAATATATACATTTCTGGCACATGGGCTGAGTTTTGTATGCTACACCCAGGTAAAATGAGACTTTGAAACAAATCTGGAGACAAGATTTAATTATTTCCTCATCCCCTCAGAAGACACAGTCTTGAGACTGCTCTTCAGATTTTGATGGGTGAGTAGTTTTAAATTGAGGCTGTTAATTGCTTTTTGTTTAGTTGATAAATGAATAAGGCAGAAAGGTTAACAACTTCTTCAGTGCTCATTGCTTTCTCTTAACTGCAATCCTGAAAGGGGGGAAATCATGATAGAAAATGTACTGATGTTAGGAGGAGGCAATGTGCTTCTACAAGAGAATTTTGCAACCAATTAGTCTTTAGTCTGCACCAAACATTGCTGTTGTTGTGGGTTGGGGAATATTTGGTAAGCATCTGAGGGAATCGTATTTGTAAAATAGCCATTAAGTTTTTGTCTGTATACTGTAATCATTCTGCATCTGATCCAGCTCCCACTGACATCAGCACAAAGACTCTCATCTACTTCAGTGGGATATGATGCACCATGCCTCTAACCAATGAGGATTTTACACATGGGCAGATATATTAAAGGCCAAATCCTACTGGTTTTATTCATGAAAGTAGTCCCGTTGATACACCAACTATGCCTGCTTTGGGGTTAAGGTTGCTCAAGTATATTTCCTATCAATGCAACAAATATAAACAAGGAAATGGCCAATTAAATCACTGTTAACATCCAGACCAACATCTAATCAAATGTCTTATCAACTAAATATCATCATACCCAAATGTACTCAGAGTCAAATCCGCAGTCGGTGTGACTCAATGAAGCTCTCTTGACCTCAATGAAGCTATACTCATTGGCCTCAGGTGAGAATCTGGTCCCCTCACCTCCACAGCAAACTCCTTTTCAGTTCCAACATGGTCCAGTTCCTCCAGATCAAACACATAACCTTTGTTCTAAACTCAGTACAATTCAGAGCTCGTACCAGACACACTTTAGAAGGATGTGTTGTTTCTATCCTAAACCTAAACTTACTGGGGGTCGGGTGGGAAGCCAAGATGTTGGGAATGGGGACTGAAGGTGTCTGGCATATAGAGAATGGAATAATAGTGGGTCAGGGGAGCAGAGCTCTGATAGGAGGCATCAGAGGTTTGGGGGTCAGTCTAAGGGATAGGGTTTGAGTTCAGGCAGGTGTATGCAGGGACTGGTATGGGAATGTGGAGATCTGGTAGGTGGGGAAATGGCATGGGTCAAGATCAGGCTGCATTTAGAGATACAAGGTTAAGCTATATTTAGATTTTAGGCTTCCAATTGAGCTCTGCATGGATGAACACATTGGCCTAGATTCATCCACCTTTGCTAGCATTGAGAAGTAGCTAACTTCACAAGCATCCCCCCTGAAGCCAATGGCTCTACATACTGAGAGGAGCTACTCAACATGAATAAAAGTGTCAGAATCTTGCCTATTATAATTAAGGCATCTGGTTTGGCAGGTGGAGGAATTTATGATTTAACCTTTATAATGCAGCAGTGCCTAAAAACTATAACCAAAGAGGGGACCCGTTGTGCTAGTCACTGTACAAACATCATAAATGACAGTTCCAGCCAGAGTTTAGTCTGAAACATAGTCCCGATTGTGGTTGTTTTTAAATGGCTCTAAAATGTTACAGAAAAAAATAGGAGTATATGTGACAATGAATAAAGGTTTTATCAGCACTCATTGGCAAGTCCTGCATAACTCACTCATGGCTTCACCCCATGTGAGTAATGCTGCCATTTTCAATTCATGCAGAAAAAAACTTTTATATACAATAGCAAGCATTCCAAATATAGTGGCAAAATCTATGTGATATACTGTGGAATCATATATGATGAGTTGTGCCTACCATGCCCCTTTGACTGTCTCACCTGTCTTCTGTTCCAGAATACATCTTCCCAGGGACTGTTTGTACCATCTGCAATTCCTAAACACATTAACAGGTTTCAGAGTAGCAGCCATGTTCGTCTGTATCCACAAAAAGAACAGGAGTACTTGTGGCACCTTAGAGACTAACAAATTTGTTTGAGCATCAGCTTTCATGGGCTACAGCCCACTTCATCAGATGCACAGAATGGAACATATAATAAGATATATATACACAAACAGAGAACATGAAAAGGTTAGAGTTGCTATGGCAACTTCCAGAGGCTAATTAATTAAGATGAGCTATTATCAGCAGGAGAAAAAAAATTGTTGTAGTGATCATCAAGATGGCCCATTTCAGACAGTTGACAAGAAGGTGTGAGGATACTTAACATGGGGAAATAGATTCAATTTGTATAATGATCCAACCACTCCCAGTCTCTATTCAAGCCCAAGTTAATGGTATCTAGTTTGCAAATTAATTCCAGTTCAGCAGTTTCTCATTGGAGTCTGTTTTTGAAGCTTTTCTGTTGCAAAATTGCCACCTTTAAGTCTGTTACTGAGTGACCAGAGAGGTCGAAGTGTTCTCCTACTGGTTGTCTCCCACTGACAAGCCATTTACAACACAAACTTTGCTTCTCTACAAAGGAAGAAAGGACACTAAACTATCTAAACTGCTACATGCCACAAGGAGCCACAACAGTAGTTCCCTTATCCACCCAAAAATATTGTTAATCTTTCCAGCTATACTCTTAGCCAGCAGAAGAGTCTGTCCTATCTCAGGGCCTCTCCTTTTGTCTCTGCAGGCCCACAAACATGATACAGTTCTGCAGTGACCTAGAATCTGGCTTTCAACGTCTCCAAATCAAAGAATATTTCCAACACACCTCTGAACAACATACTAACCCACAGAATCCTTCCTACCAGCACTACAAAAAAGAAGGATTCTGCATGGACTCCTCCTGAAGGTCGAAACAACATACTGGACTTCTACATAGATTGCTTCTGTCGACATGCATGGGCTGAAATTGTGGAAAAGCTCCATCACTTGCCCCATAACCTCAGCCGTGCTGAACACAACACCATCAACAGCCTCAGGAACAACTCTGACATCATAATCAAAAAGGCTGACAAAGGAGGTGCTGTCATCATCATGAATAAGTTGGAATATGAACAAGAGGCTGCTAGGCAGCTCTCTAACTCCCCATTCTACAGGCCATTATCCTCTGATCCCACTGAGGATTACCAAAAGAAACTACACCATCTGCTGAAGAAACTACTGAAAAAGCACAGGAACAGATCTGTGCAGACACATGCCTAGAACCCTGAGCAGGGTTATTCTATCTGCTACCCAAGTTCCATAAACCTGGAAATCCTGGACACCCCATCATCTCAGGCATTGGCACCCTAACAGCAGGATTGTCTGGCTATGTGGACTCTCTCCTCAGGCCCTATGCTACCAACACTCCCAGTTATCTTCAAGACACCACTGACTTCCTGAGGAAGCTACAATCCATTGCAAAAAGAAAAGGAGTACCTGTGGCACCTTAGAGACTAACCCAATTTATTTGAGCATGAGCTTTCGTGAGCTACAGCTCACTTCATTGGATGCATACCGTGGAAACTGCTGTAGACAGTATATACACACAGAGACCATAAAACAATATCCCCTCCCACCCATGGTCTCTGTGTGTATATACTGTCTACAGCAGTTTCCACGGTATGCATCCAATGAAGTGAGCTGTAGCTCACGAAAGCTCATGCTCAAATAAATTGGTTAGTCTCTAAGGTGCCACAAGTACTCCTTTTCTTTTTGCAAAGACAAACTAACACGGCTGTTACTCTGAAACCTACAATCCATTGGTGATCTTGCAGAAAACACCATTCTGGCCACTATGGATGTAGAAGCCCTCTACACCAATATTCCACACAAAGATGGTCCACAAGCCGTCAGGAACAGTATCCCCAGTAATGTCACGGCAAACCTGGTGGCTGACCTTTGTGACTTTGTCCTCACCCACAACTATTTCACATTTGGGATCAATGTATACCTTCAAGTCAGCAGCACTGCTATGGGTACCCGCATGGCCCCACAGTATGCCAACATTTTTATGGCTGACTTAGAACAACGCTTCCTTAGCTCTCATCCCCTAACGCCCCTACTCTACTTGCACTACATTGATGACATCTTCATCATGTGGACCCATGGAAAAGAAGCCCTTGAGGAATTCCACAGCCTGGACCAATCCGCATAAGCTGTCTATTTCCTGGACACTACTGTGCTAATAAGCAATGGTCACAAACACCACCCTATACCAGAAACCTACTGACCGCTATACTTACCTACATGCCTCCAGCTTCCATCCAAGATGCACCACATGATCCATTGTCTACAGCCAAGCTCTAAGATACAACCGCATTTGCTCCAACCCCTCAGACAGAGACAAAGACCTACAAGATCTCTATCAAGCATTCTTAAAACTACAATACCCACCTGCTGATGTGAAAAAAACAGATTGACAGAGCCAGAAGAGTACCCAGAAGTCACCTACTACAGGACAGGCCCAACAAGGAAAATAACAAAACGCCACTAGCCATCACGTTCAGCCCCCAACTAAAACCGCTCCAGCGCATCATCAAAGATCTACAACTTATCCTGAAAGACGATCCCTCACTCTCACAGATCTTGGGAGACAGATCAGTCCTCGCTTACAGACAGCCCCCCAAACTGAAGCAAATACTCACCAGCAACCACCACACAACAAAAACACTAACCTAGGAACCTATCCTTGCAACAAATCCCGATGCCAACTCTGTCCACATATCTATTCAAGTGATGCCATCATAGAACCTAATCACATCAGCCACACCATCAGGGGCTCATTCACCTGCACATCTACCAATGTGAGATATACCATCATGTGCCATCAATGCCCCTCCGCCATGTACATTGGCCAAACCAGACAATCTCTATGCAAAAGAAGAAATGGACACAAATCTGACATCAGGAATCATAACATTCAAAAACCAGTAGGAGAACACTTCAACCTCTCTGGTCACTCAGTAACAGACTTAAAGGTGGCGATTTTGCAACAAAAGCTTCAAAAACAGACTCCAGTGAGAAACTGCTGAACTGGAATTAATTTGCAAACTAGATACCATTAACTTGGGCTTGAATAGAGATTGGGAGTGGCTGGGTCATTACACAAATTGAATCTATTTCCCCATGTTAAGCATCCTCACACCTTCTTGTTAACTGTCTGAAATGGGCCTTCTTGATGATCACTACAACAATTTTTTTTCTCCTGCTGATAATAGCTCATCTTAATTAATTAGCCTCTTACAGTTGGTATGGCAACTTCCACCTTTTCATGTTCTCTGTATGTATATATATCTTCTTACTATATGTTCCATTCTATGCATCCGATGAAGTGGGCTGTAGCCCATGAAAGCTTATGCTCACAAATTTGTTAGTCTCTAAGGTGCCACAAGTACTCCTATTCTTTTTAAACACATTAAGACAGCCACTAGTTAAAAACAAGCAATTGACCCGCTCCACTCCTTCCCTTCTATTTTTCCCCAGTTATGCTGGTCTGACATACAGGACAGGCAATATTCAGTGCTACACCAGTGAGGTTTAGGGTGAGATTTGCAAAAGGGTGTGATTTTAATGGTAGCAGACGTAAACTAATGAGGAGCATTTTAAATATCCCTATCCTTAGTGTCCAATACCTTGCAAATGATCGGGGCTGGAAATAGGCATGATTATACCATCAGAAAGGGGAAATTCCCAGCTTTGAGTATTTTAATAAGGAATAAAGTTCTCTTATGAAAAGTGCTAGATTGAAAACCTGTGGGAGTGATGAACGGGGACAGCTTTTTCTATCACACCACCCCAATGGTGTGCCTCAACCCTGACCTAGTAAGGCCACCTTTCAGGATGGGTAAGGTAACTCTGGCTCCATATGCAGAGACTGCAGAGGAGGATTCCAGCAAGTACCCTTGCATTGGTGTGAGGTTATAATAATACAATAATTACTTAGCTCATGTCTAGTGCTTTCAACAGTAGATTTCAACGTGCTTTACAAAGGAGGTCAGTATCATCACCCCCATTTTACAGATTGGGAAACTGAGGTACAAGGAAGGCACTGACTTGCTCAAGATCACCAAGCAAGCTAGTGGCACAGCCAGGAACTGAACCCAGTTCTCCCACACCCCAGTAAATACTTTGTTCATTAGGTCAAACTGCTTCCTGATATGGTCACCTATCCACCAGGAGCAGAGTAGAGTCCCCTATACCTCCCTACCAATTCATTTAATTTATCACCAAACAATGTTCTGATAATCTGTGATTGGTTTATTAGATAAGTTGGATCTTTTTCTGTATCTGCTGTGATAAATGAAGGTGTGAGGGGGGGGGGGGCGCTCCCTTTTATGGATGCCCAGCCAGCCAGTTAGCTATAAAGTCTCTCTTGGTGGCTGCTTGCTTTACCTGTAAAGTGTTAAAAAGTCTCCCAGGTAAAGAAAAGGCAGTGGGCACCTGACCAAAAGAGCCAATGGGAAGGCTAGAACCTTTTAAAATGAGAAAAAAGCTTTCCCTTTATCTCTCTATTGTTCTCTCTGGGCTGGGGAGACAGGGGCAGCTGGAATGCTATGTAAAGTTTGGACCAGATATGAAAATTCATCGTCCATACCTGGAAGGATTCATTGGGACATGGAATATTTAGATAGCCGCGATTAGGTTTATTTCTTTTATTTTCTGTAAGGCTTGTGGACTTATCTGCGCTAACCCCAGATGCTTTTGTTTGCTTGTAACCTTTAAGCTGAACCCCCAAGAAAGCTATTTTGGGTGCTTAATTTTTGGAATTGCTCTTTTAAAATCTAGCAAAAGCCTAAGTTCCAGATGTATTGTCTTTCTTTTTGTTTTTAATAAAATTTACCTTTTTAAAGAACCTGATTGGTTTTGTGTCTTAAAAGGTCTGTGCATATGTTTATTTTTTAATTAGCTGGAGGCAACAGCTGGGTTTCCCCTTTGCTTGTTTTCTTTCTCGGCTTCCCTGAGGGAGGGGTGGAAAAGCCAAGGGGCCTCAGGGAAAACTTCCCAAGTGAGTTTTTCCAGGATTTGCAAGAGGCAGTTTTTCACTTGGGTGGTGGCAGCGTTTACCAAGCCAAGGTCAGAGAAAAGCTGTAACCTTGGGAGTTTAATACAAGCCTGGAGGGACAAGTATTAAATTTTAAAAATCCTTGTGGGCCCCCACCTTCTGCACTCGAAGTGCCAGAGTGGGGGATCAGCCCTTACATCTGCAAAGATACAGCATAGATTATCTCAAATTGCCTATTATTCAATGAAGGTTTCCTTCCATCCAAAAATACCTTTCCTTATGGCTTGCTATTCATAATTCAAAATCCAAAACTCAATGCACACAGGTGGTGGGTACTTACCAAAGCCTAGGCTATGCCTCCCACACAGTATGCCAGGCAGCACAACTAAACCATTGTGGAGCATACCCTAAGCCCCACCAGGTATAGGGTTAGCGTACCTTACTCTTCCCTTGGGGTAAGCAAGTTGTGATTGAGTCACAGTTCAGTCCCTTGTTTGATCCTGGAGCAGCACAAGTCCATGTTCTCCTTTACTCAGGGTTCCATGATCTATCCCTTTAGGAATCTCCCCCATCATACCCTCCATTGTCTTCCTCCCGCTTAATGGATACACAGCTAGCATGCTGACATTTTTGCTGTCTCAGTGTTCACTGTTAACCTTGTCCTCTTCCCCATTTGCTTTTTATCCACCTGTTGCTGTCATTGTCAGCGGTTTGGGGCAGGATCTGCCTTACACAATGTGTGTACAGTGTCTAGTACAATGGAGTTCTGATCCCCATTTGTGGCTTCCAGACTTTATCTTAAGAGAAATAAATAATAATAATCAGGGATCAAATAATTCCTTTTCCTTTCCCTTTGTTGCTAATGGGAAGAACATCTGTCTCTGCCATTTTCTCTTACTTATGGCAAAAATACCAAAACCCTCCTGATGTTTTTGTAGCCTTCCTTAAGGAAAAACAAAAACACTGCAAAAACACTCTTTCACTGCAAGAGTTACTTATGAATCACCTTTCCTTTCACCTCGTCGGCTTCCTTTGTAACTTGCCACCTTCTGATATCCTTTACCTTAATGAAAATACATGAACCTCTGTTTTAACTATATGCTTTAAAGAGGCTTAACTGGCTATTCAGTCTTGTGTGTGCTCACTGCTCCTGATTAAGTCTCTCTCATTCTACTTACCCGCAGCAACAACACTTCCAAGGATCAGGAAAAAGGTATATTTTGTTCTATTTAATGAGCTTGGGTCAGAGAAACTCCCTCAGCAAGGAGTCCAATTCATTTTAACAATTATAGAGCACCATCCAAAGATGGAAAGACACATTGTATTAAATCAAGCCTGAAACTTTATATATGTGCTTTGCACTGATAAAGGATAAAATAAGAGTGAAATGTTTGCAATAGGCTCCCCAGAAGTTTTTGGTATTTTATAAGAGTTTTTTTATATTTTTTGTTA